TTCCCTATCCCACTCAGCACACACCAACCCACTCACACCTTTCGCTATCCCACTCAGCACACCCCAACCTACTCACACCTTTCCCTATCCCACTCAGAACACCCCAACCCACTCACACCTTTCCCTATCCCACTCAGCACACTCCAACCCACTCACATCGTTCCCTATCCCACTCAGCACACACCAACCCACTCACACCTTTCGCTATCCCACTCAGCACACCCCAACCTACTCACACCTTTCCCTATCCCACTCAGCGCACCCCACCCCACTCACACCTTTCCCTATCCCACTCAGCGCACCCCAACCCACTCACACCTTTCCCTATCCCACTCAGCACACACCAACCCACTCACACCTTTCCCTATCCCACTCAGCGCACCCCAACCCACTCACACCTTTCCCTATCCCACTCAGCGCACCCCAACACACTCACACCTTTCCCTATCCCACTCAGCACACGCCATTCCACCCACACCTGTTCCTATTCTACTCACACAATTCCCTATCCATTCAACACATTCACAGAGAATCCCGGCTCAGGGGCACCTCCGGCACTCACCGTCTCCGCAGAGAGAGGGTTGTAATAACGAGAGAGTTACGATTTAACATTACCAGCTGGCACGTCTGACTGGCACACGACTTAACTGCAAACTGAATCGAGATTCAACAACGAACGATCGCCCACCGTGTGGTCAACACTAAGCTTGACGTAGTAAGCACACACCTGCCTCTCCTTCTCGATTTGGTTGTCGACGTGATGTACCTTTTCCAGATATTTGAAGTGCAGCTCCATAAGACGATCCACCTGAGAGCAAGACAAGAACGCGTTAATGTCGACTGCCCGATTATAAGCATAAATTATAAAACGATTAAGCCATTAATCACTACCCGCCTCAAAAGTGCAATGCGAATACCTTGGCATGGTCGTTTTCTGTGAACTTCGCAAGAAGTCTCTGTCTCTGCGTTCCACTCGTGTTTTTTAGTAGTGAAGTGATAACCGAAGACACATGCTCTATGAAGAAGAGAGAAAACCAGTGACAATATAATAATGATAGCTGTATTAAGACATGTATCCATATATGTTCAGTTACACTTAACTGTATAATCAGCATTGTATGTATACAACACATCCCAAAAAGTAATTGCTCATGCAACTAATGAATAAATAACACATACTGAGCAGCACATACACTGGCAACCCATGGGGCCGTTGTCAGAAACAAAATTAGTCGCAACATTAGTCTTACCATTAACTTCCACTCGTAAACCGTTGACAGAAACATCGTAAGGTTACGAGAACGAAAAATCCTTGCAAATATCCTCATAACATTACGAGAGCTCAGACCCTCTCGTAACTTTAATATAAAGTTGAAAATAACACATTTACACTACGAATTATAATTATAGTGATATTATATTTTATAATAATGAATAAAATGTGTGTTTTTCTTGAAAAACACGTCAAAATCATTAATTATCTACCGCTAATAAAACAAAACAATACATTTACAAATGGCGTATGGCATTTGTTCTCTTGTCATAAAGGTTTTCCTCGCTTGCCACGATTCTCGCGTCTCGCGTTACAGTGTGAGAATTTGTCTTGTTGTGCAGAATTAATTCATGACCACGTCGTTTTTCATCAAATATTATTTATATGTGGTTAGCCATCATAATATCCATAAATTACTGTGATGTACAATAAATGTGTATGAATTTTGTGATTGATTCTCATCCAATCAGGCGAAGCCTTGTGATGAAGTTCCTGTTATCGTAAGTTTTCTAATACTGCGATGTGTTTCTGTCAACGCTAGTCTCGCAACATTAGCATTAGTCGTAAGTGTTATCGTAGCATTAACTTTAGCATTAACTTTACGATGTTTCTGACAACGGGCCCCATATATATATATATATATATATATCAAGAGTACATAATAGAGTGTCTATATTTAGTGTGTGTATATAGAGTGTCTCTATTATGTACTCTTGATATATATATATATATATATATGCCGATCCAAACCTGTTTTACTGACTGCGTCATAAGTTTCAACAAGCTATTAGAATCAGCTGTAAACAAGTCTGTTTGCGACATACCATACATTTGTACAGCAATATATCGGGAGGGGGTATATATAGCCTGGGCCCTCCCATACTCAACGATAAACAACATGCCTTAGGAAATCCCTGTAAAGAATCTTGAAAACTGACCCAAATATCAAGAAATAACAATCCTCGAACTGTGCACTATATGAAAGAATTGAACATTCTAGAACTGCTGCAAATATCAAGGGATGACAATTCTAGAACTATGCAATATATGAAAGAATTAAACATTCTAGAACTGCCCAAAATATCAAGGAATGACAATTCCAGAACTGTGCAATATATGAAAGAATTAAACATTCTAGAACTGCTCAAAATATCAAGGAATGACAATTCTAGAACTGTGCAATATAGGAAAAAAAGGAACATTCTAGAACTGCCAGGTTTCACGCTTATAAGTAAAAAACTTCAGAGAAGAAGCGAAGGCCCGACTCTCGCACACGTCCCCTATACTAGTAAGAGAGACCGCCGCACGAATGAAGCAGAGTCGAGTTCGCCAAACCTTCATGTTCCTCCTCTCCTGCGTTCTTCTTCTTGTGTCCCTTTGGCGTCTTCATGAACATCGGAAATATCGTCCTTAAGCCGAGGATGTCGACGAACTTGGTGCCGTTGTCTGCACCCTCCGGACCTATCATCGCGTAGTCTAACACCTTAAGCGCGCTACTTCTAGACAGCTTGCGCTCCCTTCAAACAAAGTCAAAGTTGCCTTCAGCGCATGCAGCGATCAAGTTTACATCGATATTAATACATATCGATATTGACATCCAAACTAATATGCATGCTCTAGTTCATGAAGGAAAAAACAATAAATCGACCCGGGCTGTTAAAAAAGCGGAATTCCGCCAAAAAACGGAAAAATCACACCTGTGTATAATGTTGACTGTTCCTCTGACGTCAGCTGACACAACTTATCAGCAGCTGTAATGCTAAGAGAGCACTTTGCGTGGCATCACCTGCACGGACACTCACCTGAGCATGAGATTCATCAGCTGCAGCCCCTCGCCCTTCAGAAAGCGCCCCCTGTTGACGGTGACCATTAATGCCGAGCAGAGGCAGTCGAATAAGTTCTCCATCATCTCAATCTCCTCGTTGTTAGATGGGTCATGTTTCTTGTACACATTAACCTGCTGCAGCAGAACATCTATGCCATCCAGCTCTCCAAGAAGTTGGCGCGTGTCTACAGCAGAGAGATGGACAATATTGCACAGCAGCACAAGTCGTAGCGCGATTGTAATGACAACTGCCACGCTCAATGGCAACAACTACATATTAGTTTTAGTTTTTTAACCAAAACATTTATTTGGAGCAGAAGATAGGTTAAGGATACTCTCCAGGTTTTAGGCAAAATTTAACCGATTTTTCATTTTCATTCTTATTCGATAGCTAACACTATGTGGCATCTCTGTACATACTCATTTCTCCATATAACGATACATGTGAACTTTCAGAGCATTTTGATTGCCCGCATACACATGTAGTGAGCTGCGGCTGACGTCACTGATGACGTCAGAGACATGATACAACCAGCATTTTTAGGGTATTCACTAAGCTAGTATCATTCAGCATCAACCCTTCTACAGCTGTCATCTGCCAGTGATAGTTGAAATTGCCGTGCGACCGAAAATAGCCCTGTTCCTCTAGTTACACACCTTGCATTTAGGCGCGCGTTTGTTGACACATAGCTTAGTAACGGCATGCAATACACATCGTACGCGCGTTTTGCATGAAAGTGCGATGGTAACCTTGTAATTTCTCACAATTTCTCAAGGTGCATAGAACATTTTAGCAAAAATTTTTAGTGGTGTCAGTTAGTCAGGGATATGTCACAGTAAGTACTAACAGTAGATGTTTCACATACGTTCACTTATTTTGCACACAGGCGATCGATCCTTGTGAAAAATAGAAAAACTCTGATTTCTCCGTTTCGATTTCTGCCATAGTAGCCGTGTATAAATAGATATTTCTCTGTGATTACAACTTGAAATAATTTAATTTTACACTCGTTTTAATGGTAACATATTGCTGTAAAAAAGCGCATTAGTATTGATATTAGTATAGGGATTGTTATTAAGTACCGTATTTTATGTGTTATGCTTCCTTATTTGCGAAATTTTTTTAATTCAAACGTGCAACTTAAATTTTATGCAATTTTTTTTCTTTTTTTTCGGAAAATATGAAGCTTAAAGAAAATTCCTGAGGCACTTCTATCTCACCTCATCTATAAATCTCATCTATAAATAAAACATGTGATTGATTCGATTCATTCGTCAATAAACATTTACTCTTCATTAGAGCAATACCCGTGCAAAAGGTGGCGAGTATCCTTAACAAAGATCAAAATAATTGGTTACGTGCTAGGTTTACAGTTGAGCTGAAGTACAAACTATGCAGCTAATATATGTCAAACAGGAACCTACCATTGTTTCCTTGTAGAAGTATGGATAAAATCTCACTTGCATACAGTTTGTTGTTGTCAAAGGGAAGCTTAGCCTGAAAGTAATTTTAGTTTGTGGAAAAAATCACACACAATCACACCTCAAACCAAATGAATTTATATTAACTATGCAATTTAAAAGCTAATAAATTCCATATATTACACATAACCATGAATACGATTGAATTAGAATCAGCATGGCTGGGGAACAGATGCCTGTGAACACCTGAATGTCACCAAACATCCAGAACTTAAAACAAACATACCTTTAATCGCTTAAGAATCCACTGAAGGAGGCCCTGTTGAGCTGCCTCAGTGCCAAACTCAGGATGGTATTCTACTAGGTTCTCTACAGTCGCTGTAAAGGAAAAGGAATGAAGTTACTCAATTTTAAGTCCAAGACCGGACCTCTATGAACTGTGCATGAGAGAAAATTGTAATTTTACCATGTTTCTGTCAATGGTCTGTGAGAAAAAGTTAACATTAAGACTAATGCTAGGACCAATTTTGTTTCTGACACTGGGCCCCCAGGACACTCCACTTCAACAAACTGCTTCCAGCATCTGAAGAATCATGCATCATACTACGCTGCATCTTACAAGATGCGAGGCAACCCATTGAATGAATGTTGCCAATAATTTGTTAAACAATATTGCCATCGATTGCTAAACATGGGCACAATTCTATGAATGTTTTACCCAAAAAAACGAGGCAACACCATGCCACAAACCATCTGCAATGGTTTGTTGAATGATGCTGACTACAAATATTGTACCATGTCTCCTATATATTTCAGAAAGAATGGTATGGACAGGATGTCATCAAAGGTCATTCATGTTACATGGGCTGAAATTGACCTATCTGCCTTTGCATGACTGACAGGTGGTTCTAATCAATCATTATTGCGGCAATTCATTCTAAAAGACAATGCTTGGCAACGAAGTGCCGCGAAATCGATAGTTTGGTGTGCACGCATGAAAAAACACATCTAAAACCGGTCTGACAATGCCAACCTAGCCACATCATCCAAAGACGTTGTTTTGTGGGCTAGGTCAGATACAACATATTGGGTTAAGAGTTTACGTGGTATCTCACATCGATTACATTAACTCATCACTCACCTAATGTGTTGTGCACACCCTCTGCCTCCTCAGGAACAGTCTCGTCGAGTCTCTCCATGTTCTGTACTAATGTGCCAACCAACTGCTCCTTCATCTGTCATAAACACCACAGAATGATGAATTAGGTGTTGCCGGTGCACTTCAAGCAAAAATATCTGAGCGCCTCACACATAGATGCACGCATGCACACACTTGCATGCTCACACATTCATGCACACACATGCATTCACACATGCATGCACACACATGCATGCACACACATGCATGCACACACATGCATGCACACACATGCATGCACACATACATGCACACACATGCATTCACACATGCATGCACGTGTACACATTCATGCATACATGTATGCACAGACAAGCATGCACGCACGCACGCACGCACGCACGCACGCACACACACACACACACACATTCTTGCACGCACACACATGCATGAACAACGTGCCTACTTGCATGCATACACACAAATTTGGAGAAGGCCATATGAAGGCTGCAACTATGGAAAGAGAACATGTAACAAAGGATCCATTCTGTACTCACCAAGGCATCAATGAGAATTTCAACATCCTCTTCACTTTCTGTCAAAGTTTCTGTATCAGTAAGTTCTTGTAGTAGGCTAACAACAGCTACAGAAATGTCTGGATTAAAAAGTAAAGTAAATAGAATTACAAAACAATAACAACATCTTCACATCAAACAAGCTCACTCTTGCACCTATTCAAGAATAGTAATACTTATCAAGAAATGTATAGTTACATGTGTGTAAAACCCATGGAGGAGCATAGTCATGACGATACCATTCATAAAGAATACTTATTACGACAATATATTAATCATAAAAATAAATTTGTTAACCCGTGTACCTAAAACAACTGCTATGTCTGAACTCAACTGTATTGTATTACCGGAATGCTGTTTGGAGTATGTATATAGGTTAACAGCACACAATGCATAAACACAATGCCATGAGGATATATAATATGTGCAGCCATGTATAATCTAGTATAGAGGTACAAACCCGTGTTGTCATGACTCAGCAGCCCTAGCAGAGATTGAACTGTATGCAACTCAACAAGAATATGATATAATTCCGGCATCGTTGCAACTACATGTAGCTCTTGCACTATCTCATTCAGCTCGATCTCAGAATCCATGAACCTAGCGCAAATCACAAGTACTCTTATCACAAATACAAGCACAAATACAAAAATGTAATGCATACAAGAGCGATGTGAGGATGAGGACTTCGTAAGAATTTGTGCGCATGTCAAATATCAGTCAATCATTCCTTATTTCTACTTGAGGAAAAATAACTTTATCCGAAGCACACATTATAAATCTGTATCAATTATGTACTTATGGAATTGTTAATGAAGCAATGTTGTATTATCATAATAAACCTCTATTTTAATTACTTCTCAGGTTTATCCTGGAATTTTATTCGCATCTCCTGGTTCTTCACAACTCTTTTCTCAAAGGTTAGCAACATTTTCTTCAGCTGTGATTCATCTATAGGTGGCGCCTAGATAAAAAAAACAAGTAAGACGGGGCTAATTCGTACATGTTGCAATTATTTTTTGGGTCATATAAGAAAAACAGAAACGAATGTGCATACTAGAACTCATAATGATCCAGTACCTCTGGCTCCTGATCAACGAGTTCAAGAATGCGATCCCGCTCACTTTCAGCAGCCTTTCTCTGATCAAATCCAGATTCTCCAGAAACCTTTTTCTTAGATTTAAACCTAGCAATGTTTGCATCATCATCGTCTTCGTCAGGCGCACGTTTTACGCCTTTAACGGGCTATAAAAAATGTAGAACTGTCATAAATATCGAACATCGAATAGCGAATATCGATCATTTGGTCTGCTGTTGTACTCTATATCTTTCGGTGCGTTTGTTGACAACTTGCATGCACAGATTTATATAGTGTTGTACAGAAGCATTTAAACGGCACTTATATAGTATCATTAGGCAATAAAGAATACATTCATGAACATTTGGAGTTTGGTAGCAACTGCAATTCATCATATTACCATAATTTCATTATTGAAATGACCGAAGCTCAAGTGTTCACACTGGTGTACATTTCACAATGGTTAATAACCGTTTTATTAATCTAGTATTATTATCCCAGATCATCACATCCACGAGCCCGAAAAACATGTATAATTATTTTCCCTCGTGTTCTGCAAACCTCATGACTTGCTAATGACTAGTGCTTGAACTTTATGACCTTTACTACAGTGGTTTATGAAACCCCAACATTGCATTGGGCTGGTCAGTGGTATTGCTATTGCATGATGATCCACAGGCACTTGGAACGTTTCAATTATAAAATTATAGTAAATAAACTACCAAAGTCCTAATCTTTCTCTACTCTTTTTCGCCTATTGCTAGTGATAATTTCCTGTAAATTCCGTTCTAATGCTCCTCTGCAACACACACAGGCCTCGACGCTTATTTTCAGATCTGGTTGTCCTGTCGGGCAACAAGAAGAAATTTTTACTTGTCCAAATTTTGGTTTTACTTGTCCAAAATTTACTTGCAATCTAGAGCAATCTAGGTAAATTTTTAGTTCAGTGCATATCATATTACATAATTACAGTATATACATGGAAAATCGTAATTAATGAAATTTGCACGTTTATTTTTGCGTGCCGATTGTAGCTTTTTTCTCAATTCCAGGAAAGTTTTGCTGTAGCTCTCTCATACCAGCAGTGCCCACCCCCCTACATATTCAGTAATGAACATGCCCCACACGACTGAAACAATCAGTGCACCTCCCCCCCTACTTCAATCAATGCCGCCCCAGCCAGCAGGCATGTACGCAGCCACGATGTGCACAGCCACAGACACGGTGTCGCGGGCTGCTTTTTTCCGGCGACTGTCGAAAATACAATGTGAGAAATGTTGTGCGATAGCGCCCTGGCTCAAAGGATGTTAGGAATTTTACACAACTGTACATTTTTTAGTTGTCCGATCGGGCAAATAGCCAAGAGAATAACTTGTCCGACACAGACTTTCACTTGTCCCGGGCAATCGGACAACCGTTAGTGTGGAGGGCTGACACAAATACAATGCACGCACGCCACTGTGCATAAACAATAAAAATATAGAGGACGTAGGAACACATGATCGTAAAATTCGCTCGACGCTCGCTTCGTTTCACACCATCACAGCACAAATACGCAACTAACAGTCTCCATTTTGATGTCTATGCGTAGCTAAATGTTCACTTGTTCAAATTATAAAACTGCCATCTGGTACTGCCTACTTGAGCTAGAGAAATCTTGTGAATTCCTGCAGAAAACTCCCACTCTGCCAAAATGTAAATGGGAGGAAGTGCATGTTTATCATCAGAAACACCCGAACTGCACTACTCGATTGTTTTGGCCAATGAACATAGTCGTGTGAGTGACGTCATGCCTGCGCGCATTATGCTAGCTTGGCTTGGCGGGCATCGAAATGGAGCTCGGAGGAGGGCATCAACTTACCCCGGCATGCAATGTGCCACCATTAATCATGTATAAACAAGCACTTCATCCCATTTACATTTTGGCGGAGTGGGAGGTTTCCGCAGGAATTCACGAGATATCTCTGGTTAAAGTGGGCAGTACTAGATCATAGATGGCAATTTTATAATTTGAACAAGTGAACATTTAGCTATGCAAAGATACCAAAATGGAGACTGTTGATTGTGTATTTGTGCTGTGATCGTGTGAAACGAAGCGAGCGTCGAGTGAATTTTGCAATCAAGATTTCCTACCTGCTCAGTGCTCTATTATCTATGTTTATAATTTTTTATGCACAGCAGCGTGGGTGCGGCGTACGTGTACAACTTGTCTTGCAGAGGTGGAATGGCATTTACAGGAAATTATCAGTAATAATAGGCGAAAGAGAGTAGAGAAACATTACGACTTTGGTAGTGAAAACATTACGTGTTTATTTGCCATAATTTTATTATTGAAACGTTCCAAGTGCCTGCTGACGTGCTGTAGTGTAGAGTGTAGTGTAACAGTCACAGTGTACTGATGAGTGATGATGTGTAGGACACTGTTACTGTTAGTGTTACTACTACTAGTGAGTAGTGTTACTGTTAGTGTTGGGTTAGTGTTACAACAAGCTTTGGAACTTCACCTTCAAGTGTAATGTGCGCCAAACAGTAGATATACCACAGTGTTAACGCCAAATCTCGCCACCATATACTAGCAACATCCCTATTAGCATGTATGTGTTTTCATTATCGAAAAATACAAACCTGAAACGTAAGTAATTCACCAACATTCATGATTTTTAATATTTACTCGTCTCGCAGTTCAGTTCAGTGGCGCGCCAAGCGGTTCAACAGTGCCGCCATCTGTGTCACGAGTCAGCACAGGTCTGTAAAATTTATGTTGTTCCTTTGGCAAGTAAACTCAAATAATAATTAATATCTGATATAGTATCATATATACACATAGTCTCACGTGCAATGTTGAAATATAATTATTATTATATCGAATCAAGGATATTTTGTGACCCCGTAAATCTGTTTTCGCGTGTGTGCTAAACTCCATCCGAGTTCTAAACTGTAGCTGGGAAATTTGTACACTAGCTGGGAAATTTCTCCTACCAGTACCAGCGTTCTACTTCTACTAGTTCTAGGGTGAGCAGAGCGGTTCCTAGAGAGGGCTGCTCAGTCACAGAGAATGCTGCCGAAACGCTCTCCTGTTCTAAGGCCAACTTTTTTTGTTTTGTTGGTTTACAGAATTTTTTTTTTGGTTGTTGACTCGGTATGGTAAAAAAAAAATTGTCGTTTTGTCAGATCAAACAAGTCAAAATACAGGTGCTATACTGACTACAGTTATACATGATATAAAAGTATTTTAAGAAAACTAAATGAAAACAAAACTCAATTTGTGATTATTTTTACTTTTATTAATATTATAAACTGTTTGTGCAAGTTTACATTTTTTTTATTAATATTTCTTAGAGAAAAGGTCGGCGGGAATAAAAAAAAAACCTATTTTCAATTTTTATTTTTTTCGTTTTTCTTGAAAATTCGGGTCGGCGGATGTGTAAACCAACAAAATAAAAAATTCTCGCCTAATTCCAAGAGCGAGACGACTGAGTCAAAACTCTGCCACCTAAACGTGTCGATCCAAAACTAAGGACTTCCAGATTTCACTATCCTGTCGCCGTCGCCTTTTGCCGATCGCCGAAGGACTTTCTTTGAGTATAAGATAGATATTAAAACTTTTAAACTTAGATACCGTATGCATGAAATCGTTTATCGTGGACAAGCTGCTGCACGACAGCTGGCACGTACACACCCTTCTTGACCGCCCAATTCCGATGGCAAGAAGATCTCGACAACCTGGAACTCTTTCTATCAGCTGCTGCCCTCGTGCGCCTTCTCAGATGTTGATGTCTACAACATTGTCCACCCGATCCGCCGTTGGGGACTTTGGTTGAGATTGCTCTTAGTCGGGCTCCTTCCCCTGGACCTTATCGTCTTGGGTGGCCCTACCAGGAGTGCAAGACTCCCGATGGCATCTCTCGCAGGGATCAGCAGAGCACGCAAGCTCCTTCATTAATCATCATCCTCATATGGCATTAATAAGCTATAAATTACAAGCTATGACAAACCTTTCTGGAATGTCATAATCATCAACATTCTGTCATAATCATCAACAATGGATGATGTTGACAACATCATATGAAAATAGCCTGAAGAAAACGTCGCATAAAATTGTATATATTAAATATGAAATAATATAACATAATAAAGAAATGGGCGAAAGTCCACTTTCCTACGCCCAGCATAGCGATCACCAAACTCCGAAATCCCTGATTGGTTCGCATTAGCGCCTCAGCATAACAAGCAATGTCACGCTATTACATATACTGGCACGTTTTCGCTATTTTATTACTATTATTAGCCCAAAACAAACATCTGGTAAAGTTGAAGGTGCAACTGCACATTGTTTACATACGTGGTGTACATACGCACAGGATTCACTCCTCACTTTAAGATGGCGGACCTGTTGATGTATTTCTGGTGCGGCCAATCGTAATGTGCACCCTATCCAGTGGATACATGACATCTATGATATACTCCGTATTAGTACGTAAGCCTTCAGTTTAGTTTTGTGCAGATACTAAACAACCCATTCTTTTACAATTTTGTAGGAGTAGAAGTCGTCGCTGGTGATATGTCGGCCAGTAGTGGAATCATTCGGCGTATACCGCTGTTGCTTGTCTCTGACGATGTTCTCCTTCCTGGGGCATCGATGCGGATTTCTGTCAGAAGTTCAAACAAGTATGTACTATTGGCACGCGAGCAAACCACTATAACGATCACTATACCTAATACGATTACATATACTAGTACTGCTGTACTATACACAATACTTGTATATATAATACAATACAATACAATACAATATAATGTAATACAGTACAGTACAAAACAGTACAGTACAAAACAGTACAGTACAAAACAGTACAGTACAATGCAATATAATAAAATACAGTGCAATATTATACAATGTAATAAGATACAATACAATACAATACAATACAATACAATACAATACAATAAAATACAATGTAATACAATACTATACAGTATAATGAAGAGAATACAAAACAGTACAATACAATGCAATACAATACAATACAACACAGTACAGTACAATACAATACAACACAGTACAGTACTGTACTCTATATCGGATAACATTCAATTCCAGATAACTGCAACGCAACTTGTATAGCACTACACACACATGCCCGGTGTTTGGAACGAAGTTCCGCACGATATAGAATGGAGTGATGTTTAACTCCAAGAAATGCGCATTTTAGTGATACCTCACGTTTTGATGCTTCGGCTTACCTAAATTCGCCCATATATTATTTAATTACATGACGTAAATTATGACCACGTATGGTATTTCGCAACATAATTTATGACCACTACTTGTGATACGAAACAAAGATACGCTCTTACCTAACTTTTTAATTCAAATCATATATATAATAGATACATTATATTTGATAGTTTTTGCTATCATAAGTATGTATTCACAATAGTATCATGTCGCCAATATTTACTCCAGGAACATGATGTTAAATCATTAAATGTACATGCTCAGTAATTGTTATCCTGAATTGCCAATTGTCTATCGATACATGTGTTTGTACTTGCATGTGTGCATGTGTATTTGCTAATGCGTACTTGCATTCTTAATTACATAATATAATGTAAAAGTTTATAATAAGAAGTTGCACTCATGAGTTATATGAGCAGAGATCAGGGTTTACCTATATATTTTCTCTGTAGTACTGTTTATATCTCTGTATCACTAATTATATCCTGAAAGTCGATAGGACATTGTGATTCACTGTATGGAATTTTCGTATTACCAATGTTTTTTCTGGAATGCATTACTTTCCTAAAATGGAGTGTTACCGTATTCCAAAACACGTACGTTATTCTTCTATTGTATACATTTTGTAGAATTCCCAATGTGACCCCCGGCTGCACAGCTAGTACAGTGCTAGATAAGTGCTTTCATATTGTACAGTCCAAAAAAATATTGGTAAAGTCATGACAATGTCATGCATCAGCAAAAAATGTTTTTGCAGGGTTGGTCCTAGGCCTTTACCACATATCGTGTCTGACATGCCTTCAAAGCTGAAACTAATTTACATCATCCCATAAATCCCACGACATGCCTTAATTGCCTAATTAACATGCCTTAATTTCTAGCCATGTTTACTTTTGACACTCCCAACAGCTTGATGTGTACTTCTCCTAATGATCGGGTTTACTTCTGTATTGGGGCTACTTATGATGCATAATTGATTCCAATCAGTACAACCTCCTCCCGGCCCCTCCACCAACCGTCTATAAAGACGTCTTCTGAAATTCCTGGCAGAACCCTAGGTAGTACTGTGATTTGTTACAAATGATTTGGGTTAGTAATGCAGACATTGAGGCACCTTTAACTTAGATGGTGTTTAACATTTCCACTACCAGGTTTTTAAAAATTTCTTTAATATTTTTAGCATGAACATGGTAAAGAGTCGCTTGCTTAGTCGAAACACGCTGAGCAGTGCTGTGATTGGTGTTATCCCAACAAGACCTGAGCACTCGGAGTCAGAGGTCTGGAATGTGAATAATTCTGCCGTTAAACATTGTATAGATGTTATCCATTAGAGTAATACTTGTCTTTTTCTTTGCTATTACCTAGATCTTTATTTGGGAAATTATGTATGCTCAAGCATTGATGAAATTGGATATATGTAACTGATGCCATAATGTGTGATTAGTAGGTATAAATTATTGTGTTATTTTAGAATGAAGAGGTTGAAAACATTCAGTCCAACACTGTGGGGACTGCGGCAGTTGTTGTGCAAGTAACTGGGACAAATTGGCCCCGGCCCATGTACACCCTGCTGGTAACTGGCATATACAGGTTCAGGTTAGACAGGCTTCTGCAGTCAACACCGTATAAAGTTGGCTCTGTAACACAACTGGATAATCTGACCTTAGACGAAGCAGGTATTTTTAATGAAATATTGTATAAAATGTTTAATATAATGTTGAAATAATTAAGTCATTATAAATAAAGCATTTACCTTCCTTAGATGTATGAGTTATCCCGTATTGTGCATTTAGTTATGTTTTCATACGTATATGTATTGCAGTTCTAAAATGTGTTTGATTTCAATTATGGTGTAGATATTGATGCTGAAAACAAGGAGCTAGGTGAACTGATTGAGAGCTTGCGGGAAAAGGCCAGACAACTACTTGACATGTATGACATATCTTTGCCTGTAGTTGTCAAGCTGAAGGTATGCATTTTATCTCATTTATGTGATAACAAAACTCTGTATATTTCTTAGCATTGGGTTTCTAGAAGGGCTTCTAGTGCAAGTTTTTTTTAAAAAGGTTTCTATATACTATTGCTTTTAGTGGAAATTGGTGAACGTTATAGTGAATATTTAGTAACTAAATTGATATCATGATTCATAACCTTGTAACTTACCATCACAATGATTAACACGAGATGCGAATTGTTAAGCAGCGTTTTTACATTGCAAATGTTGAGTACTATAGTAATAAATTAAGTTTCAGCACTAGTATTTACCTGTTGAGTTTCATGTTTGCAGAAACTGTTGAAGACACTGCCTCCTCAGAACCTGCCTGATATCTGTGCATCCATAGTAAAGGCTTCCTACACAGAGAAGCTTCAAGTGTTGGATTCCGTAGATCTAGAGGAGAGGTTGAGGAAGACCTTACCATTGTTGGTTAGGCAGATCGAGGTACACAATTTGTACGTACGCGTGAAAAGCAAACAGCGAACCGTAAAACCAAGTAAGAAGAGCACATGCAATATCTGTGTGTATTGGTTACACATTGCTACGTATGAAATACGACAAAACCTTTGTTTTATTACCTACGCGATGTTAGGTTTTACTGTGTATAGTCATTTCTATGTCAAAGCTGTGTACATATTTAGTTTACTAGTAAGATTGTTGATGGTGTAGACGAGTTGTTCTTTAAATTGTATGTAATTAACCTTGTAGGGTAATCTGCACATTACATTTGCAGCAGCACTTTGTTAACAGAACATCTCTCGTCCTTCCCACATTGCCGTAGGGGCTCCGGTTGTTGCAAAAAAGTAAGAAGAATAGAATGCAGATTGTACCACGCTCGAAGCTGCCTGCAGTCCTGGGAAAGATGATTCAAACACCACGTGACATGCTGGACGATGACAAGGACACAGACAACGAGTTACTAGACTTGGAGAACAAGATCAGGTAGAGGCTGGCAGGGTTATACAGATCAGGTAGACGCTAGCAGGGTTACACAGATCAGGTAGAGGCTAGCAGGGTTATACGTACAGATCAGGTAGAGGCTAGCAGGGTTATACAGATCAGGTAGAGGCTAGCAGGGTTATACAGATCAGGTAGAGGCTAGCAGGGTTATACAGATCAGGTATAGGTTGACAGGGTTATACAGATCAGGTAGAGACTGGCAGGGTCATACAGATCAGGTAAACGCTATAGCAGGGTTAATTTGCTGTTTCGCTAATTATACAGACATTTCGTCATCGATTATCTTATGTTAGGTTTCTTACCTGTAGACAGTTCTGCTGTTAATCTCACAGATCTTCTACCTAATGTGAAGGTTAACCATATGCCTGCATTAATTACGTCACTAGATGCAGATGATCGATGCATGTACTGCGTAGATTGCTGGTCAGAATGTTTGTATGGCATGACATTGTCAATTTGGGACCTTTGACATATGTGAGGTTTGTTCCATTAATCATTTATGCTTGTTACAGGGAGGCACAAATGCCAGACCAGGCGAACAAAATAGCTATGAATGAACTGAAGGTATCGTGTGATAAAGCATTTGTTTTAACTACTGGCGAGATACTATTTTTCTATTACCATGAATGTATGTATAGAATACTTGTATGTCTAGCACATGATCATGTTATTATACTATCTTGTACAGTGATGGATTGTCAAAGAGTGAAGAATAACAATGCTACTAATTTTATTTTAAAGTTTATACATTTTGTCATAGTTTTATATTGAGACGCATATTAATATGTAGAATCAAACCCTGTTATTATTATTATTATTATTATTATTATTATTATTATTATATATGCATTATCTGTTGCAGCGTTTAGAGAAGATGTCACCTCACATGCCAGACTATGCAATGACAAGGTAGATAATAGACAATTAAAAAGTGGAACAATCTGTAATTGCTTGTGTTAGATCTCTCTTGTAGTTTGTGTTACAGAAATGTTTACATTATAGATGAGTAATAGTTCTGTTACTTACAAGTTATGTTGTATTTTTCAGTTTGTCATGTTGCATACTTAATAGTGTATCTTTCCATAGGAACTATCTGGATTTGCTTGTGGAGTTGCCCTGGTCAAAACTAACCAAAGACACCCTGGATATCGAGCAAGCGAGGTAGGTTAGGTGCATGTGGCCATGAAAAGTTTGCTCAGCTGTTTTCTATAGCAGTGCGTTCTTCGATCACAAGGTATATGTATATACTAATATATACATACACTGACGCACGCGTGCACGGACACACGTTGGTGTGCTTACGTGGTATGTAGTCGTTTAGATGCTTTGATGCCGATGGTCGTATCCGTACTCTACTATTAAATGACAAAAAAGTAAATGGTCGATGCTCAGTTCTCGTTCCAAGCAACGTATATTACATGTAGTAAGGCTAACTGTGTGGCCGCTCTAGGAGGGACCTTGACTGCGATCACTATGCCATGGACAAGCTCAAGAAGAGAGTCATCGAGTTCTTGGCTGTGCGCCAGCTGAAGAACAGCCTCAAGGGTCCCATACTTTGCTTCGTCGGGCCGCCCGGGGTTGGAAAGACGAGCATAGGCCGGTCTATTGCCCATACACTTGGCAGAGAATTCCACAGGTACGAAGAATGAGGAGATGCATCGTGTCGCGTTCGATCAGGTCGTGTACGAATCGCAATTGCATCGCAGAAAAGTTTGAGTAGCATTAAAAGAGTTAAGGAGTTCACATTCCTTCTTATGTTTGCGACGTCGACCAAAGATGTGGTACAGTGTATTACTTAGAAAATCGTGTTTGTATCATGTACCAACTATCTTCAACAGTTTTATATCGGCAGTAATTATGAACCGTTTTCCTTTCATCCCTTTTTTCTATTAATGTATTTAAACTTATTTTAACTTAATTTATTTTTTTTTTACTCTACTTTTTTGCATAGCTGTGCATTAGAGTAAATTGTTTTACCGCTCGAGAGCATTACAGAGACTCCCCGACTTGTGAACATTCGAGTTACGAACTTTCGATGATACGAACAATTTGCCCTGAAGACCATTAGTGTATAATGTCAATATTGGTGAATAAAAAGACACAATCGCCCCCCTGATTTTGACTTTCGCCAACTCATGTGTTCACGTATATGTTTACACTACCTACACTTCTAGGTTACTCGATGTTCACATGTACATATACTACATTACCGTACAATACTGTATACATACGTACATATGTTCGACTTATGAACAAATCGACTTCCGAACGACCGCTCGGAACCGAACCTGTTCATAAGTTGGGGGGGTCTCTGTATCTGTGACAAAATACAAGGCACGTTATTGTACGTGCAATTGTGCGAAAGCAAAGTAAATCAATCACGACCTTGAGGGGTGTTGACTAGGTGCGTTTGCGTGCGCAGGATCTCTCTTGGAGGCGTGTGCGATCAGTCAGACATCAGGGGTCATCGGCGCACCTACATCGGTGCAATGCCAGGCCGCATCATACAGGGCCTGAAGACTGCCGGCACGCGAAACCCCGTGTTCCTGCTAGACGAAATCGACAAGCTAGTGAGACAAATATTAATTTTATTAAACAATAATAATAATAATAATAATAATAATACTAATATTTCCATATATTATGTATAATAATATTGGAATGTATAATTTTATTACTAATATGATAATATCTTATGTTATGTATAATATTAGAATGTATTATTATACTAATATTATAATAATTATAATGTGGATTGTTTACCTATGCAGAGCAGTTAGTTGTTGAGCGACAATTATGCAGCGGATGCAGTGTTACCTTCAGTCAGAAGACTGGTTGTATTTTTAGAATTGTCAGCAGAGTGGTTGTGTTTTTTCATGTTTTAACATTTCAAACTGACTCGAACTGGTTGTGTTTTAGCATTGCCAACAGACTGCTTGTGTTTTTTTAGCATGGCTGGTAGTCTGATTGTGTTTTAGCATTGCCAGCACACTGCAGGTGTTTTAACATTGTCAGCAAATGGTGTTTTAGAAGCTTCGCACTGTGTGAGTGCTCTATGGTTACCATCGCACTGGTTCTATTTCAGACCAGGGGAGTCCACGGCGATCCGTCTGCGGCGCTGTTGGAAGTTCTAGATCCCGAGCAGAATCACACCTTCGTTGATCAGTATCCTACCTTGCTATGCTATATATTATACTACATATATTCTATAGCTTACTATCCTAGCAAGCTGTTTGCTGCTGCAGTACTCATCCTGTCAGATTTGTCAGTGAAAAACATCTCAGGGATACATTGTTAATTTTAAATAGACAAATAGACAAACGGCGGTAGACTTGGCACAGGTAAAACTGGATTACATCAAATCTCTGGTCGTTAGTGTTCCCTAGGTGTCTTGTCCAAGTAAACAGACAGATGGGGATGAAAATTGGTTTTTGAGTAAAATATCTGTCAGTGTTCACCGGTTGTTTTCGCTATATAAACGATTAGGGGTAAAACTTGATTATATAAAATCTCCACTGACCTTTTCTGTGTCTCTTCTGTACATAGACAACCTGGGGTAAAACTGAATTCACCCAAATTTCCATCCGTATTTGCTGAGCAAATAGAACTTCCCTAAGCATTAGTCCTACTAGATAGATGCAGAATATCCCTCAAAGACCAGCCACACTAGATGGATGCAGATTTCCTCCGAAGACCAGCCACACTAGATGGATGCAGGATTTCCTTAGGGACCCACCACACTAGATGGATGCAGGATTTCCCCTGGACCAGCCACACTACATACATGCAGAATTTCCCTAAGGACCAGCCATACTAGATACATGCAGAATTTCCTAAGGGATCAGTTGCAAGCAGAGGCAGCGGCTTAACAAATTCACTAGCCATTATAATACTGAGAGCGTTTACACGAATAACCTTCGTGTTTACCTTGACCTTGCTCAGCTACGTGAATGTGCCGTTTGATCTCTCGCAAGTGATCTTCATCGCGACTGCAAACAGCCTAGCAGGAATTCCTGCACCGCTGAGGGATCGTGTTGAGATCATCCCAGTCGCTGGCTACACACAGGTATGTGCTCACATTGTCTCACGCATCTCAGGTCTCAGGCATCACACGTATGTCATCAAGTTGTCTCGTGCATCTCAGGTATGTCCACATTGTCTCGTGCATCTCGGATCTCAGGCATCACAGGTATGTACTCATGTTGTCTCACGTATCTCAGGTCTCAGGTAACAGGTATGTACTCATGTTGTCTCATGCATCTCAGGTCTCAGGCATCACAGGTATGTACTCACGTTGTCTCACATATATCAGGTCTCATGTATCACAGGTATCACCTCATTGTCTCATGTATATCAGGTCTAGATATTACATATTTCATGGATTTTTCATGGATTATACATAAACATATTATCATAAGCCCATCATTACAGATCTGTTAATATGTCTGTTAAGATCAACTTTATGATGTTGTAGTTGATTTATTTGTAATTATAGCTGGGCTTACGTTTGGCTCTAAGAACACATTTACAATTTTTTTTTCATTTTTTGCCATTGTGTTACCATTATTACACATCACGAAGATGAGATCATGTTCCGTCTGTTTCACCTGGACTATCATCCATTCCACAGGAGGAAAAGTTCCACATAGCTATCCGCCACCTGATTCCAAAACAGTTGGCAGCTCATGGTCTGACCAGCGAGCAGCTGCAGATTTTAGAAGACAGCATCAAATGCACCAGTAAGTACCAAATACGATGATATTCAATGGAGATGCACTGCAGCAATATAAGACATGATTACGCAGCTGCTGTAATCCCATTTGTAAAGTTTCTCACAGCTGTCTGAAGTCGCAACAATTTGAGATATTATACCATTTACAATAACAACATTATAGAGACTGTCCAAGCATTCCTGTCGTGACTGCATCAGCATTCAGGATTTTCCACCTGTTACTTGTACTTTCACCAGTTGAGAAATACACGCGAGAGGCTGGCGTGAGGCAGCTGGAGCGTAAGATCGGAGCGATCTGTCGTGCGGTTGCCGTGCGGGTGGCAGAGGCGAGCTCGAAGCATGAAAGAGCAGATAAGGTAAGAGAGGGAGGAAGAGAGAGAGAGAGCGAGAGAGAGAGAGAGAGAGAGAGAGAGAGAGGATGATGCGCCTGGGTGCAAAACGCATCAAGAGTGTTTGAACATTGGAATGCTTCAACTGTTCATCAGTGCAGCAGGATGATTATGGGAGACACTTTGCATGCTCAGTGTTTGAGAGTTGGTGTTTAAGCCCATGGATCCAGCACTTAATATAATATAACACTAGATGTTTTATGTCTGCAGGACACGGACGCTGTGCATCATGAGACAGATGATGAGAAGGATGCTCATCTGGCTGAGAACGTGGTCGATCCACCTGAAATGCCAATCGTCATAGACGAACATGCACTGGAAGACATTTTAGGGGTGAATAATTAACGCTATAACTAACGTTAAAAACTAAAGTAAAGTAATGTAATCATTATTTTCATCGGTACAGGACATACAGGGTAACATGAGCTCTTGAATTTGAAATAGCTCTTAAACTGATATCAAACAAATGTAAGATAACAATTGTATGAACAATCAACAAATGAATATAAGATAATAATAATATACAAGATAATGATAAATATAAGATAACAATAAATAATATATAATAATAAGATAATAAATAATAAAGGCTACTAATTCGCTTCCCTCTCGCAGGTGCCGAGGTTCGAGCGCGAGAGCCGCGACAGGTTCGACGAGCCAGGCGTCGCTGCGGGCCTCGCGTGGACGGAGGTCGGCGGTGAAGTGATGCACGTCGAGGCGACGCGCATGGAGGGCGACGGCAAGCTGACGCTGACGGGCCAGCTCGGCAGCGTGATGAGGGAGTCGGCGCGCCTCGCGCTCAACTGGCTGCGCTCGCACGCAGAAGGGGTGAGCGAACAGAGGGCGCCGGCGTCGCTCCGTTAGCCATGTTGTCGTTTGTTGTCGTGTCGTTATGGAGGCTTGTTATTTAATGCCAAAAGCGGCCGTTTAGTATTATTATTATTACCTCCGCCAAGGGGTTGGCATGAGGTTATGTTTTCACCGGCGTGTGTTTGTTTGTTTGTGTACAGCCTAACTGAAAAGGTTATGGACGGATTGTCATAAAATTTTCAGGATAGGTCAGAAATGGGCTAACTTAGAATTGATTAGATTTTGGTGGTGATCTGGATCCAATTAATTAATTAATTAATTAATTAAATTTTCAGGATAGGTCAGAAATGGGGTAACTTAGAATCGATGACATTTTAGTGGTGATCCGGATCCAATTAATTATTTAATTAATTAATTAATTAATAAAATTTTCCACAGTGAGAGAATTGAGCTACCTTGGTGGAGGTCTGCACTCTCCGAGTGCTCTAGTTATTATTATTATTATGTTATTTAGCGATTAACAGCATTCTCACGAGTCCTTTTCTATCAATTGGTCCTTTCTTTCCTAACTCCCTTGCGATCATGTCACACCTGCTAAATTACATGGTACACTAGTGTCAATTTAGCTGAGCTTTGGTACACTGGGAGTAAGTGCATAGCGCATGCTATTGTTCTATGCTAATCTGCATCTGCTTGTTCACTTATCAAGCGGATGGTGGTCACATGCTCGTAATCTATTTCTACAAGCCCTCAATGACTCGTGCACGCGCATGCGTGTTTTTTGTCGTGCAGTGTGGCATCGCGGTCGCGCAAGGGAGCGATCTTCTGGAGTCGACCGACGTGCACATCCACTTCCCGGCGGGCGCCGTCAGCAAGGACGGCCCGTCGGCCGGCGTCACCGTCGCCTCCGCGCTCGTGTCGCTCTTCACGGGGCGCAGCGTGCGCGCAGACACCGCCATGACAGGCGAGATCACGCTGCACGGCCTCGTACTGCCGGTGAGTCGCGGCGCGGCGGCGGGGGAGCTAGAGCTGCCGGCCGTCAGCGTGGACGTACTGGAAAGAAGTTAACGACACACCGGGCCGACACCAAGGGGGATGTGGTTTTGTCTATGTGTTAGCTTCCAGAGCTACAGGGATAACTTAATGCCAAACCCACGCTGGCACCAAGAGCAGAGGGCGGTAAAGGTACCTAGCAGGTAGCCAGTCACGTGCTTCATGCGAGTCAGTGATGACGGGGAAACTGTGGGTGATATGAAGTGTTGTTGATGAGAGGCAAAGCTTCGGTTGTGCAACAGGTCTCGCATTAGCATAAAGTTCGCCATGTGATGAGCACATGCTTGCTACCGAGAATTAATTATGACAGCGACGGTTCGTTAGTAGAAAACGTAGCTGTTGTCGTGAGCAGGGCCTCGTCTTGTGCCCTTACGGGCTTTCCACCGCAATTACACAGATAGATAGCGCAATACGTGTGAGTCAACTGGTGGTCGTGGATTTCAGGTTGGTGGGATCAGGGACAAGATACTGGCTGCACACCGGGCGGGTTTCATGCGCGTCGTGATTCCTCAGAAGAACGAGAAAGACCTGAAGGATATTCCAGCTACTGTCAGAGTACGTAGTAACAGCCTGCGCAATAGTGCTCATCGATTACAATCTATAATCATTTGAACGTTTAAAACCTATAAGCACCTGGTGTGCAGTGTAGGAAAATAGAGATCATATATGTGCCACCTAGGTCAACAATGTGAGAGGGGGCAAGACCAGTGGCACTGCTAATTAAATAAAATAAATACCAATTGCAACGTTTTGAACTATATATTAACTTCTAATTACTATCGAACAGCAAAAATTGGTATGCATAGGATAATTAAAACCGATTTTAGCATGAAATGATGTTTGAAACATTGATGGTGATCTTTTTTAACCTTGGAGTAGTGACCTGTGAGTTTTCCTTTAGAATGTGTTGACTAGCTTTGTGTTTTTTGTTTATGTCAAAGACACGGAGTAACCCTAATCCAAACCCTAACCCTAACCTTAACCCAAACCATAACCCTAACCCATACCTGAACTCTAACTCTAACTCCAACTCTAACCCTAACCGTAACCCTAACCCATACCTGAACTCTAACTCTAACTCCAACTCTAACCCTAACCGTAACCCTAACCCATACCTGAACTCTAACTCTAACTCCAACTCTAACCCTAACCGTAACCTTAACCCTAACCATAACCATAACCCAAACCCTAAGCCTAACCAGAACCGTAACCCTAACCCTAACCCAAACCGTAACCATAACCCTAACCTCTAACCATAACCCTAACCCTAACCCTAACCCTAACCCGAACCCCGACTAATGTCATTTTCCCCTCGGGTGACAATCATCCCGAGACTGCATGCTCTCTGCATCGTTGTCTCACTATACCTCTGCTTCGTCGTCGTCATTGTTGCAGAGTGAGATGTCCATCATCCCGTGCGCTCGCCTGGAGCAGGTGCTCTGCGCCGTCTTCCCAGAAGGTTTTCCCGACCTTGGCCGCGATGTCGAGGTCGTGACCAGCAAGCTGTGACCTCGACTGTCGCCCAGCAAGCTGTGACCTCGACTGTCGCCCAGCAAGCTGTGACCTCGACGGTCGCCCAGCAAGCTGTGACCTCGACGGTCGCCCAGCAAGCTGTGACCTCGACGGACGCCCAGCAAGCTGTGACCTCGACTGTCGTGTAGCAAACTGTCGACTGTTGACTCTCGTTAAGTCATTCCGAATGATGGCCGCGCGCGCTCGCGGGAAGCGCGGCGTCCCGTCGCCGATTCGGGGAGCCGTCGTTCGTCGCAAACAGTTGTTGGCAGCCATCTTGGTCCGCTCAGTTGTTCGAGTCTGTTTGAAATGTTTGGGTGAGAGTTGTGTGGAGTGTGGCCGCATGCGTGACAGTGTCTCGCTTAGGTTTGGACTGCTGTGGTGGGTTTGTGCTACTGGCGAAGTGGTGTTGGCATGCTATCTGTGTGTTGATTACTCAATCCACACTGTCACTATACTCACTCTATGTCTATTCGGCTATAAGTCGCTCAATCATTCCTACAGTAGTGAAGCTTTACTCCTATTCCTAATGGCATTGATGTGTGCAATATGATGCAATCTATGTTGGTAGATTCACCATTTAAATGTAATCCTACTTGCTTCATACTGCCTAAAGCTTAATATAACATGTAGAAGTAGTAAAGGTACTACTGGTCAGTGGGCGTGATACACGACCTAGTTATGCTAAATATAGGATAGCTTTTGCAAGAAGTTTAAAGGTGAGGATGAATTAATACCCCATAGCCTTATGATTATTGTTAAGAGAGTGATTATATAGTTATTTAAAATTAATGTGTATATGCAGAGCAATTTGCATGCATGGCATGAGTGTGGAAGCTCGCAAATATTGGGAGCTATTGATTCTCAAACAAAAGCGAGTATCATACCAAAACGACCGCTAAAAACGAGAACGTTTCTTAACAGTATTACGTAATATTCGCTATTGTTTTTATTAGTTTATTAATTAACTAAGCTACAGTTAAAGCCTTACAGTGCGAGTAAAACTGATCGCATGACCGAGTAAAAAAAAATTGCATTTGTAACCGTTGAAATAATCTGTGATCTATTCATGACCTGCCACGGGAATAAGGTCAATGACATGGTTGACATGGTATGACATAGACAAGTTTTCAATATGAAACGCTGGTAGTTACGAGCCCAGTTTTTACGCAGCAGGGATGTAATCGATTATGGTATCATAAATTGTATTATTAATTTATGATTAATTGAGGTGACGGATTATTATTTGTACTTCAATGTTTGGCTGCCGGCAGGTTGTTATTTGTACGCCGATATTATCCTCTCATGCTCAGAAAGATAACATTGTATTGGTATGACTGACAACGTGAGAGTGCATGCATAACCCATGTCTGCAAGGCCGTTCAAAGCTGTGTACTGTGATCAAATAAATGCTATTATTGGTTATAACTATAGAGAGATATATGGGGCTGCGTTTATGTTGATATTCGATGAGGATGATTTCAATACTAACACAACTGTTACACATCATGTTATAACCGGCGTTATGCCCACGCGAGGCAACGACGAAAACAGTTAACGCTATTTAGATCAACATAACAAAATGTTAATTAATAACAATTTAATTAACGGGTCAGTCTTTGTAGGTACTTGTTCTGTGATTGGTATAAAAAAAAACGCCTCCATCCTTTCTCTTAGATATTTATACTATGTATACACACGCACGCACGCGCGCACACATATATGTTTATACTTTGCCTTTTTTTCAATATAACTTGGTAAACAAAATATTGGTATGGCTAAACAAAATAGATAAGCAAAATTCTGCTATTCCTACTCACAATGCGCAATATGATACACAGCCTTTAGTAATGTATGTCTCCTAATCCGCGTAAGAAACACGCACAAGCACAAACACAATTAAACACGCACGCGCGCACAAACACACGCACGCACAAACACACACACACACACACGCACGCACGCATGCACACACACACACACACACATACACACACACACACACAACAACACGCATGCACGCACACACACGCGCGCGCATACACGCACACACACACGCGCGCATCACGCAAGCAATCCAATTACACGCATACCGGCACAACACACACACACACACACACACATACACACACACACACACACACACACACACACACACACACACATATATATATATATATATCAAGAGTCCATAATAGAAGAAAGTCCATTTCTATTATGGACTCTTGATATATATATATAGAGAGAGAGAGCGAGCGATAGGGGGAGGGAGAGGGAGATATTCAACTGACAAAATAATCGAAAAAAACCCGAAGAATAAACGAAGGACAGTCTCGGAGAGCTTTTGCGCGTGGTAAGAGACGCCCATTCGGATTATTATCTATTAGGAGTGTTTGCGTGTTAGAAGCGGCTCGTGAAATGAAAACAAGCGCGCCCTGGATGTGTTCTTATCTATGCGCTACCATGGTACAGGGTAGTGCCAAATGTTGCACCGACTTACATAGAGATTATTACATAGAGATTATTATTATTACCAACGTTGTTCAAAGTTCCACGGAGTCGTGACTGGCGCGCACGTCGTGTGCCGTAGTTGTATGCTGATCATGAACGTCAAACGTACGTATTATTGTTTTTCCAATCGGTCCATTAACCAATATTTAATTAATTTAAATTTATTATTTAAAGATTTGTCCATGTTTAATGACCGCGTTTAATCGCTATCATCTAGCAGCTTGTACTGTTTATATGTAGCTGCACTTTATTTCGTTGCTAGAAAACTCAGTTGGCTGCTATAAATGTGTTTTTTTTTCATGTGTGGCAGTATGGCTTTTGCTGGATGTAGTAACCAATTTGTTATCGGCAGTATAACGTGTTTCGAAGTAGAGGGCATTTTCTTGTGCACGGCCCATCACGCAGTACCATCAACTCCAACCATAGCTATAGATCGCCTACTCAAGCACGACCATGATTTTATCGACACGTGCTCTCAGATCGGTTCGGTCGTGCTTGTATAGCGATATAGCTGATTAGGTCATATACCGGACCCTGTCAGCTGCTTTTATCGGCGATTCGTACCGAAAACGCGTGCCGTCTCTCAAGGTTCGTTCTAAGGACAATTGTCACTTGCACAAGTAAATATGACAAGCCCTATATCAGCCCAGAGTTACGGGAGCCGCCAGCAGCGAGAAAACTCCCATATCGCCGCCGCATAAATCCCAAATATCGACTACATGTTATACGCTATATTCCCGACTACGCACATTCCTTCGTGTCCAGCCGCACGTCGGAGCATCAACCCAGGACCGTGTTTAGACATGTTGAGGCCCTAAGCTATGGGATGCTGTCGAGGCCCAATTTGGCAATCGTTAACAGAGAATAAGGCTGTGTAACAACTGAACTTGGCAAGAATCGTGCATCGCATAGAATATCCGTGCGAGGTGGGGGTGGGTAAGGGTTGCTCCTTAAGAACTGCCTTTTATATTATATATAATAATATAATATAATTATATATAAGTATTATATATAATATATAGTTATTATATATTCAAATATGCCTTTTATTATTCAATCTAAGATTTTGAGAGGCCCCTTCAGACTGGGGCCCTGGACTGTAGCTTGTTTAGCCCAAAGCCGGCCCAGCGTCAACGATGCGGTCGTTGTGACACTCTAGCTGTTACTAAAATCGGTCGTCTTCCATCGCGTAGGTTGCCGCATTCTATTGTTGATATTGCTCTACATTGAGCTGCTGGCGACGCGCTGCAGGCTAGCGCCGACGAACATATGTGGAACGCCGACGACGATGGCGGCGTCGGGCACTGACTATCTCTACGCCGACCCCATGATGAAGAAGCCCCCGCCAGAGGGCATCGAGTGCTCCGTCACCATGGAAACGTGCGACAACTGCCTCGTGCGCTTCTCGCTCAGTCTAAACGTGCCCGAATGCGTCCCGATGACCCATCACAAATGGTAATGATTGGTATTAATAATAATAATAACAGGGACACACACACACGCTCGCTCGCACGCACGCACGCACGCACACGCATACGCACACGCATACGCACACGCACACGCACACACACACACGCACACGCACACGCGCGCGCGCACACACACACACACACACACACACACACACACACACACACACACACACACACATACATACATACATATATATCAGGAGTAGATAATAGGGAATTAGGGAATAAATAATAGGGAATAGGGAATATTCCCTATTATCTACTTCTGATATATATATATATATATATATATATATATATATATATATATATATATATATATATATATATATATATATATAGTATATTACGTTCGTGTCGTCGTGTGTCGTCGTCGTCCGTCGTTGTTCGTACTAACTAACTTACCTTTACGTTTAAGTTTAATTTAGTTACGTTACCTTAC